CGAAATCTCTTCTTTACGGTGAGCTTGTAAACAGTAAGAGGAAACCAGGTGGACAACTTAAAAGATACAAGGATATTTTCCATGAAAACTTAAAAGGGATAAGTTGCAGCATCAGTGGGAGGAAGCAGCGCACAATAGAACGCAATGAAGGAGAATTGTAAACTCAGTTAACAACGACAACCAAAAAGTAAAGAGGCAACCAAATAATGAGATTTTTGAATGTCCGGAGTGATGCGGAGGAGAGATAACATCACGTGTCGGGCTTGTCAGTCACAGAAAAACTCATGAAAGAAAACGCCTTGCGTATTCTTCATTGTGCATCTTCTGATGCGTATCAAATACTCGTCAACGAGTAATGGCAGTAGTAAAATGGTGGAGAAATCACCAGGGCAGAAACAGGCGAAAAAGTTCATGGTAGAACATTCGCCAAAATTCACGGCAGACTTCTGATAAGTAAATGTAGTACATAAAGATAAAGACATTCAAAGCCATATGGGTCTACTAACAGGGCATATACAGGGTGGCCAATAGTCCAATATCGTCGTCGTTGTCGAAGATATGAAAAAACGTTTTTATAGATGTTGCGACGTCAACCAATCCCGATTTAAGTCATGTACACTTTAGTGCTAATAAGTGTACCCATACCATTTTTTATTTTTTATGTGAAAAAAAAATGAAAAGTTATAGGGGTGAGCCACTTTGGAAAAACACTCAATTGATAAAATTTCGATTTTAAATTTTAGTGAGTTAGATTAGGACCTACAAGAAGCATTTATGCACTATTAAAAACAATTTTAAAATTTGGACATTTTTTCATTTTGATGTGTGCACTTCCATAACGCAATTTTTTAAAATTATTTTTTTTTATATTATTCTCTGTTTCTTTTTTCTTTATAATTAAAATATCGATTTATTTTAATAACGTTAAAAACACAACCGTTGTGAAAACAAACGGTTTATTAATTTTTCTGTTTGGGCAGAAATTTTAAAAAATATAGTATAAAACGCCAGTCATTTTAATTCTTTTAATAATATTAAAATATTTTTTAATAATAAAAAAATGCGGTAGACCCTAATAAGTTAACTCCAATCTATGGGAAACTCATCCCATGCTCGAATCAGAAAAGTTGATGAACCGTCGCTGGTGAATGTAATTCACTGTCAGTGTCATGTCTAAGATAATTCGACGCTACTTTTTTATCATTCTTTATCATACGTAAATACGTGTACAATAATAAATGTATTAGCTAAAATTGAAAAACTATCAAACGTTTTTTTGGGGGGCCAAATATATGCTGACATATTTGGTAAATTTTCTTGGACATACTGCATTATATAAAAAAAATGGTTTTCATGTGTGTGAAGACATCAATTTATGGGGGGACATCACGCAATTTATGATATAATACACATATTACAATTATATTAACTAGGTTAATGTGACAGAGGTCACGAAAATGCGGTACTACCATGTTACAGACAACCACACCCCTGAATCTTCCAGCATACAGGGTGGTCCAATTTGCAATCGTAAAACTTCGACAACATATTCTGCAAATAAAAATAAATAAAAAAGTTTCTTTCGTTTTGTTTTTTTACAATGGATGTCCTAAAATGCTTTGTTTCGGATATACCGAGTGTAGAAGTTTCATTTTTAATTAGTTCTTTTCCAAATAATTTCTGAATTAGGGTCGATTTTTAGAGGAAAATTGGTCTATGGGAGTTTTTTGCATGATAATCTCGATTTCAATAATAGAATAACTTCTATTTTCTATTAGAGTAAGGAGTAATAGGAGTTATCACTTTTCGTTCGTACCTGCATGGTTTGTACTGTGTAAAGAATATACATTCCCACCATTTTTTATGCAAAAAGGTTTCTTTTTAAAAATGTTATCATTGACAAAAAATAAACATATTGATTAGGTCGTTATTAGACCAATAAAATAATAAATTTGGATTTTGTACCAAATCTTAAAAAGATAAGAAAAATGTATGATTTATATTTAAAAATATAAAATAATGTTTATGTTTGCCCGCAGCGACTATTACAAAGAAATTTTTACTTTTATGTACTCCCAGTAGTGTAATACAGGTACAGACGAAAAGTTATATTACTCTTCAAAACAGTTAAAAAACATATGTAGGTGGCGCACAGTGGATCGACCCAATGCAATTTGCTGGACATTCAGCAATTATGCAAAATTTCTAACTTAAGACATTTTTTGAATAAATGTTCTAAAATCTTCAAATTTGTTAAAAATAGTCATAACTTTATTACAGATAACTTTCTGAATAGTGCAGGATTTTTCCAGAATATATATTTTATTTGAATTTCCGTATTAAATTGACTATTACAAATTAAAATGCATAATTTCATACTTATTCCAAAACTTAATGAACTTTTTATCATATTTTTATTCTATATGAATTATGACCTTGCGATTTGTCCAGTTCTTTAATACCAGCCTGTATTCAATAACAATAATTTTCAAAGTCTTAATTATTGTATAGTGTATCACAAAAAATTAAATTTTGAACAAAATTTTCCATTGCCATCTTTGCTGCAAGCGGCTGCAATCTGCAATAAAACTTTATATTCATAAGTTTAGCATAAAATAGAGAAGTCATACCCTCCAACAAATAATCGGGACTGGTGCTCGGTGGGACTTTTTGATAATTACGAAAGAAAGACGCAAACTATAATAAATTTCGCTGAAACATATATATTTTCACGAAGAATAGAGTTAAATTAACACCCAAATGTTTCAAAACTTCTTTTAAATTATTCGTTAAAATATGGGCTAAAACTTTTATATGGGGCACACAGTCATTTATTTAATCCATAATTTGCTCTATAAATTTCCCACATATTAAATATCTTTAACAAGAAACGCATATATTGCGTATACCATAATATATAGATTTGGGTGAATTTTTCAATAAAATTCGATTTTAGTTGATTAAATTATGGCTTTCTAAATATGTATTTAAAGAAATTTGTATTAAAAGTTTAAATACGATTTTAAGTGTTATGTCCAGCATCAAACATACGATCGTTCTACTGTGATGGCGCCTCCCACAAACGTACTCATACTGATATTGGGAAAAAACGAAATAAAAATAAAATAAAACTTCTACACCCCGTATGTATCTCCGAAATATGAAGCATTTAAAACTTAAATTTATATGTACTTTTCTTATTGTACTTATTTTTATCTGCAGAATACGTTTCCGAATTTTCCCTTTTATAATTCGGACCACCCTGTCTAATACCATCTGTTAATTAATTGATCTTTATCTATCAAATAAATTTCTTTTTTTTTCAACTTTCTCAAAAAATACGAGATTTTTTTTACATGGATAATTTTTTTCATTTTAATTTTTTTGCACGCGCTGTTGTAATCGTTGAGACTGAAACCCTATTTGGAAATAAAATTAAATATTCATTGGATGTGTTGGGGGGAACTAAGAATGACTAATAGGGGAATGAGTCACCGTAGCGAACCATACTAGCACAGCAGACATATTGATCGGAGATATAAAAAAAGGAAGAAAATTCCTGGCGAAAAAGGAAACGATGTCGTCTTCTAGACATTATAAGAATTTATACCATTATTTCTATCACGAACTATATACCTATATATAATTTGTGACCTGGATAATATATAGTTCTGAAATATTAATAAAATAATAATAAATCATAAAGTTATTTCCTTGGTTTGTATTTTCACAGACCTAAATATATAATTTTGTTATTTTTTATAGTATAACGGTAAATTATTGAAAAACAACTGTCATCCAGTTAGATTGGAAATTAGGATGACATTCACCATATAAATAATGACTGCGATCTTCATTTCAAAGCTATCTCTGACGTAGTTTGTTTTCATTCGTTTTATACCGTATGATCGAAAAAAAAAGCGTTAAAATAAGCGGCGTCAGCGATGGCTATGAAATAAAGATCGCTGTCATTTTACAGGTGAAATTATATGGGGAATGTCATCGACGTTCATTTCCAAGCCAACTGGACGCTGTTTTTTTTTTGATCATATACTTTCTGCTGATATTTAGTTTTAGAATTATATAGGTAATTAATGCCTGGTACTAGATCATACAATTTATAGCGACCGGCATACCAACCCGAGTGGTATATTTCGACCCCAGAAACACGTCTTGGAGTATCTTTTTCGTGAATTTTTTTTAGATTTTTTTCTGGAAATGTTTTTGATTTTTAGTTAAAAAAAATAATAACTTGATATTATGGCCACATAGGCAATACTAATTTACAAAAAAGAAAACAGAAAAAATCCACTGGTTCTCAAAATATGAGCAAAAATTATTTTTTTTTTTAATTTTCAAAATCAAATAACTCGGTTATTTTGTACTTATTTGAAAAACGGTAAAAAGAAAACGTGTCTTTTATCGATATATCTACCAGCCCTGAAAATATTTGCACTTATTTGAGAGTCGCCCTGTATAATTCATAGATAGCGTGTAAAGTCTTTATATATTGTTTTAATTTACAGAAAAAAGTCTTACTCAAAAAAATTAAACCAATTTTAAGATTTTTACCACAAGAAGTTTAGGAAAAAGAGAATACAAAATGGAATTAAAACTTTAATAAATAAAAGTTGGTTTATATCAGAAAAGTTTTGAAATTAAGGTTGTATTATTTGTTTTAAATCTATAAAATTATATATATTTAATGAAATTAATTTTGAAGAACTTTTTTTTGAAGCTTTCCTATCTTCCAGTTCAAAAATAAAATGCATATATTCAAAATTAAACAGAATGAAATATCTGCTATATTATTATATTTTTTGAAAAGCACTAAAAGGATGTCACCTTTAATATTTCTACTTCTTCATACATTCTAATATTATGCAAATATAGGGAGCAAATCAATAAAATTTATTTCAATTATTAGCAAGAGATAAAACAAAACTGCTAAATGGTATTTATGAAACTAATTCTGGTTGTTGAAATAAAACACATTTTTGTATACAAAAATTTAATGGAACAAATTAATTTTGAAAAAGGGAAAAAAACTGGGTTTTATGTTAAGTGCTGCCGCTAAATTATAAAAATTTTAATGTAAACTTTTTAAGCCAAACAAAAAGTTTAATGCCTATTTCTGTAAAGCAAAATACGCACAAACATAAACAAAAGAGGGACAGATATAAAAAAATTCCTTCAAATTCAATGCAACGGAAAGTCAGTCTTGAAAAACTTGCATTCGATAATTTACAAAAATAGGAATGTAAAACTTTTTACAAAATAAACACGCAAAATTATTATAGTCAATTGGAACTGCTGAGACTTTTAATTAAGACGACAAAGATAGTGCCGAAATTAAGAGCCCCTAACCAGTCCAACCGACTTTGGAAAAATAACATCTATTTATAAAAAAAACTCTGGTTCAGATCATTCATAATAACTTAGTTTTCATCGACTTCGGCTTCTTGGTCTTCGTCAAATTCGGCATCCTCGTCAGCCGTGGCTTCTTGGTACTGTTGGTATTCAGATACTAAGTCGTTCATGTTGGATTCGGCTTCGGTGAATTCCATCTCGTCCATACCCTCGCCGGTGTACCAATGCAAGAAAGCCTTACGCCTGAACATAGCCGTGAACTGCTCGGAGATACGTTTGAACAATTCTTGGATGGCGGTGGAGTTACCGATGAAGGTAGCCGACATTTTAAGACCTCTGGGTGGGATGTCACAAACGGCGGTCTTAACGTTGTTGGGGATCCATTCGACGAAGTAGCTGCTGTTCTTGTTCTGGATGTTGAGCATTTGTTCGTCGACCTCCTTCATCGACATCCTACCTCTGAACACTGCGGCTACTGTGAGATACCTTCCGTGTCTGGGATCGCAGGCGGCCATCATGTTCTTGGCGTCGAACATTTGTTGTGTCAGTTCAGGTACAGTTAGAGCTCTGTATTGCTGGCTACCTCTGGAGGTCAAGGGTGCGAATCCGGGCATGAAGAAGTGGAGACGGGGGAAGGGAACCATGTTTACTGCCAGTTTTCTTAAATCAGCGTTCAATTGACCAGGGAACCTCAAACAGGTGGTTACTCCAGACATTGTGAGAGACACAAGATGGTTCAAGTCGCCGTAGGTAGGTGTGGTGAGTTTCAATGTCCTGAAGCAGATATCATAGAGAGCTTCGTTATCGATACAGTAAGTTTCGTCGGTGTTTTCTACAAGTTGATGTACGGATAGGGTAGCGTTGTAAGGTTCTACGACGGTGTCTGATACTTTGGGCGAGGGGACTACTGAGTATGTGTTCATGATTCTGTCTGGGTATTCTTCCCTAATTTTCGAGATCAACAATGTACCCATACCGGAGCCGGTACCGCCTCCCAGCGAGTGTGTGAGCTGGAAACCTTGCAGACAATCGCAAGATTCTGCTTCTTTCCTGACTACGTCCAAGACGGAGTCGACCAGCTCAGCTCCTTCCGTGTAATGTCCCTTTGCCCAGTTGTTTCCAGCTCCAGATTGTCCGAAGACAAAGTTGTCTGGTCTGAAGATCTGTCCGAAGGGTCCTGATCTTACGGAATCCATGGTACCAGGTTCCAAGTCGACCAGGATGGCACGGGGGACGTATTTACCGCCGGAGGCTTCATTGTAATATACGTTGATCCTCTCCAATTGGAGGTCGGAGTCTCCATGGTAGGCTCCGGTGGGGTCAATGCCGTGTTCGTCGGAGATGATTTCCCAGAACTGAAAAAAAAATAAGAAATTTAATATAATTTACGAGAATATTGTGGAAATTTAATTTTGTATTCAAAAATAATCTTTCAAAGAAACTTGAATATTAAAAAAGAACTGTATTTCAAGCGTAATTAACATTACAACCGCTTACTTAATAGAACTGAAAAGAACGACAATCGATAATACCTCTAGCTCGTGCGTCAGGTTATATCTGAATTCATCATATTTTTCATGTAAATTTATATTACCGGCTACTTTCAAATTCAGAACACGTCCCAGATTTAGCTTGACAAGAAAACGTCTGCAAAGCGAATGTTATTTCCGAATAATTCCAATTTCCAATATCCGACTTATTTACCTAAATAACAATCAGTATTTTAATTAAAAATGACAAAATAGAAAGATAATTTTAGATTGTATTACAAAAATCAATAACAGAAATAAACACTAAAACTCATTTCTGTGTTAGTTAACGAACATTGATCCAACAACATCAGAACCCTTTCATGACCAAAAATATCCTGGTTAGGTAACATTAGATAAACGGCACGAAAATTAGAAGATAAAACGCCCTTTAGAGGAAAAAAATAAGGATTATCTATTTATAAAACTGTTTCGTGATCAAGGCAAGTTTATTAGCCCGGTGCCACGCCCTACTATTCCGTCGCCAGGCCAGAATGTAGACAGGGCGGTGGCTTGGGAGAATCGATGATGCGTTTATATTTGTATAGAGTTCACGATAGAAACTACAATAAACATTTTAAACTTTCGATTTATCTTATTTAATTTGATAATCCAGATAATCTATAACGAAAACACGAATTTTATGATTCTAATGCTCATTTTTTCTAGAATATTTTTAACTCGCAGAAAAATAAGTTAACATAGAAGAGTCTTACAATACAAATAATATTTGTAGTTAAAATGCTCATCAATATTTTGGTAGACCGATTATTACAAAGTATTATTAAACTCCTGTTAAATCTGACAGTATCAAGTAATTTAGAAACCCTCTGTTTACTTGTCTCTTTGAGAGACATGCATATCTTAAATCTTTTGAATGAAAAACAAGCAATTTTCGCAATACCTTTACAAGTATCAGGTGAAGGTTTTGTAATACCGTAACACTTGGTACGACATTCTTGTTTTTATTTTGCAAACGTATACTGCTCACAGTGCTCACTTCTATATATAGAAACAACTGGTGTACCGATGACGTCACAATTAAGGACATCCCACTTAAACACATAAATGGTAGTAAACATTTGTTACATGCCCACTATAATCTCCATTCAATGATATAAAATGAAAAAAAACAACCATTATTTATCTAGTTAATATTAGTTAACGAATTGATATATACAGATAACAATCAAGGAATGATAATTATTTATTGCTATTAGTATAAACTTTCTAAAATACGTTTATTATCTTCTTGAAATGTTAACCTGAGGTGTTATTATTTTAAAAATATAAATGACATAATTTCTCGATAAAGGTTTAGTTGTGTTTTGTCACAGATAAAACCGCCAGTTGACATTGAGAGGTATGAATATACTTAAAAGGATAATAAATATTATGTAGCTGGCATGATGTCATCTTGTAAAATTATCTAGAAATGCAAGTGCTAATTTTATTTAGTTTACTCTGAATTATGTTATGATGATCTTTCTAGCTAAACAAATAAGCTTATGATGGTGATAAGCTCTAGATAGTTTAATCACATTCCTAAATTATTGCCAATTTATACAACACCAATTTTATATTAATACTTTTTTCAAAATAATATAAAGACTAGTTACTGCGAATTTACTTTTTATTTAATTGAAGGCAAAATGTAAGTTTTTTAAAAAATTCTGCAAGAATAAACTTCAAAAGAATCAAAAGATACAGTTTTATACAATCTTTTTTTTTTCTTGTATACAGGGTGGCGCCTCTCATACTTGAAATGAAATTTTGTGAGTAAACATAATATGTAAATTCTACAGTTCTACAGGGTGTCACCAAAAAAGGTACACATCAAAGTTATGTTTTTTGTAATAGAACATCATATATTATACAGGGTGGCCCAGATATAAGTGCAAGTATTTTAACTGGTAGTAGGTATAGTTCAACCCGAGAACACGTCTATGTTTCTTTCGCGAAAAAAAAAATTGAAAATTCGAAATTTTTTGGAATTTTTTTGTAGTTTTTAGTTAAAAAACATAATTTCTTGATAATATGGCAACATAGGTATTAGATTAAATTTACAAGAAAGGAAATCCAGAAAAGATCCAGTGGTTCTTAAAATTTTAGCAAAAATCATTTTTTCTGGAAATTTTCAAAGTAAAATAACTCCGTTATTTTGGACTTATTTGAGAAACGATAAAGAGAAAATAGGTTTCTTTTATCGAGATCTACCACCCCTTAAAATACTTGCACTTATTTCTGGGACACCTTGAATATTGATTTCCGAATTCTAGAAAAAAAATGAAGGTATGCTTCAATAGGGACACATTGACTAAAAAGTAAGATTTTTGACATATTTAACATTTTCTAAAAATTAATAAATTTTTAATTTCAATAATAGCTACTTAATTTGAAATTTATCGGGTTAATATAGCCTAATATGTAGTTCAAAAACCAATGCGCTTTAGATCAAATTAAAACTTAAAAAGTTATACAGGGTGAGACAAAATTAATATTGAACAATGGTTACACACATTTTGTTACATTCGTTAAATCAAAATTATTACTTAGTAATAATGGAAACAAACTGATTTAAAAATAGATGCTTTTTGACTTTTTGATCTTATGTCATAATTCCCTTCATGCAAGACAAAAATATTATATTCGAAAAATTGAAGAAAATATAAAAATATGGAACCAAACACTTTCTCAATACACTATTTTTTAAAATTGGATAAAATTACTTTTTTAATATTTTCAAGAAAAAATGTTAAACTTGACTAATTTGTTGTTTTTAGACTGTGTTACTTTTCTGGAATATTAAGAATTAAATCTGAAGTACTAAGCACAACCCAATATGTCAATGGTGAAATAATGTTAAGATATTATAATTACAAAAAAAAAATATTACAAAAACTCCATTTGATGTAAACTTTTTTGTGCATACTGTATAGTTTCTAAGATCAATTAAAACTAGGAATGTTGTATAAAAAGAGAGCAAATAGAGAATAGAGTAAGGCGATGACATCGATCCGTGACCGTGAAAATTAACCATTCTTTTTTTAGCTAGAACCGAGTGAAACATGGCAAAGATCGCGCTTATTTGTCCAGCGACCGTTAGATGAAAAAAGAGATTCATATTTTATGGTCTGCGAGCAAGGAATCCACAGCTATTCTCTTCGGTCCAGCGACCATTGTTGCCATTTCCTCGCCTTTCAATGACGTCACCGCGATCATCAGAGTTCGATACCCTCGACAGATCAACGTGGATGCATCACATAATTGCCGATTTATATTTAAAACATCCTATTTATATTCACTTATCTATGAAACAATTTAAAAACTTTTTGAAAATTACTTAATATTTGCAATTATTACAAATATAACATAATAAACTTCAACGCTTGATTTTATTTTCAGCGGCGCGGCAGTACAAATAACTTCTATGAAAAGGGAATAGGATTTGTAACAGTTAAAATACAATGACATTATCTATTCCTAGATTATTTTTATTACGTAGGTGGATGAAAATTGGTATACTAAAGGTGAGTTTCTATGGATCCGTAATACGTCATCCGTCATTCCGTCACGCCAATCATTTAGGTGTAAGCTGTTATGTTTTAATAAACCATTAAAATTGCATAAAATCAACGACGGACGACGCATAACGGTTGCATCTAAACCCACACTTATATTAATGAAAATTTACATTATTTTTATTTGTCATAATTGACCCAAAAAATATTTTTATTTATTTTTTCTAAATGTCAAACTTTTACGGAAGCTATAGTTTATTTGTAATTATAAAAAATTAGTATGAAATCAAATCAATCATCATCTATTATCAAAATTGTTATACCTACCTAACTACTTATACAGGGTGGTCCGAACTGTGTCCCGGAAACTTCGGCAGCATATTCTGCAGATAAAAATAAGTAAAAAAGTTCGTATAAATGTATGTCCTAAAATGCTTAGTTGCGGAGATACAGGGTGAAGAACTTTCAATTTTATTCCAATAAATAATTTATGAAGAAGTAACGTCAATATTTGGATGACATTTAGTGTCTGGGTGGTTTTTGACATGAGAAATTTGATTTTGATGTCAATATGACTCCTACTTGTAGAGGACGCCACCTACATATTTTTTAACTGGTTTGAAGAGTAATATCTTTTTGTCCGTACCTGTAGTTATAAAACTTTCAAAATATACATTTCCGTGATTTTTTTACGTAAAAAATGTATCTCTGTAAAATCGCTACAAGCCACCCTTCTCAAGATATTTAGAATGGAAATAATCAATACATGTCATCACTGACAAAAAATAAATACGTTGAATAGATAGTTAATTGACTGAAATAATAAATTGGGGAAATTTTAATTTTTTTAAAAATTAATTAATTTTTAAGTTTTTCTGCAAAAACATGACGATAAAACAGTTTCTGTCGAACTTTTGGCGCAAAAACACTTTAAATTTATGATTTCAGTCCATAATAACTATTTGGTCAACATGTTTAATTTATGTCAATGATGACAGGTAGGTATTGATACGATTAACTCGTAGAGATTTTTACCAAGAGACCTTTTTTACATAAAAAAAAACGTCGTAAATGTATTTTTTTACTCAGTAATCAAAGCGGTAGTCAGTAATTTTATACAGGTACGGACGAAAAGTTATAACCCTTCAAAACAGTTAAACACATTAAGTGGTGACCCCTACAAATAGAGCACAGAAATCAAATTTCTCATGCCAAACAACAGCCAGACACCCATTCAAATATCCAAATATTGACGCTACTTCAGAAATAATTTGGAAAAATATCGAAATAAAAATGAAACTTCTAGGCACCCTATCTCCGAAACTAAGCATTTTAGGACATACGTTTATACGAACATTTTTTCTTATTTTTATCTGCAGAAGATGCTGCCGAAGTTTCCAGAGTACAATTCGGATCACCCTGTATAAATATAAATCAAAAAAGAAAAAAATATATTTTTGGTCTAAAACTGTCTGGAAATGTGGAAAAGTATAAAGAGGAACCATGTTAGAACGAGCAAAAATTTTTAAAAAGGATTAATTTTTCTAAAAATGTTTATAAAAAAGTGTTTCCTCTTTTAAAGACAATCCGAGGACATACTGTAGATAATTTTAATTATAAAAATTAAAAAAAAAGACAAAACCGTAACGATCTAAAATTATTGTTATGTTATAAACTTTTATTAAAGGGACAAAAAATTCAAAAGTATAAAATATTAATTTGTCAAGCAAAACAAATTTCACGTTGTGTGGTCGATAGCGGAAAAACAGACTCCGTATTAAATAACACCGTAAACAAAACGAAAAACCATAGAAACGATAAAAATGAAGACAAACCGCTCATGTTTAAAAAGAAAAAAGCATATATGCCCCGCCTTTTTTAACGGTCATATTCCACGTACTATCTGTGCTGAACACGTATGTCTTCCAACGGTCGCTGAAACCAGAGATGTGATCTTATATTTTTACCGGATGCTTAGTGATTATATTATT